GATAGAAAAATTCGTGAGCAATCTGCCTGCAGCACTTTGTTTTATACAGTATGTACCGTGCTGTATAAAAGCAAGAGGGCGGAGGGAGGGTTATTCGATACATTATCTTTTTTGAATCGTTGCGTCGTCTGTCTTTGATCCTAGCATATGCATAATTTGTTTGGAAAGTAACGCATTTAGCCTCGTGATAGCGGGAGCTGATAACCCCCCCTCCCCCCCCCGTCATTTTTCATGCACCGGGAATTTCTACGGACGGGGGCAAATGCCCGTGGAGTTAGCACACTCCACGGTAACGTTAGCAGCGGGAAGCTCATTACTCGGGCAAATAGAGGTCTCAGATAAGAGCGCGGATGGAGGAAGGAAGAACGATCTCGCCCGTCTCACGTACCGTCTGTATCTCAATTTCCTAGGTAATCAGCTGCGGTTTACGATACACGCGAAAACGCGCATTAAACCAATTCCAGCGTCGTGCACCGGACGGAATGATGCGTTGTTCTCGTCTGCGACGCATGGAAGGAAAGGGTAATCCAGCGATTTCATCCCCTGTCTTTCCTCGATCGTCGTTACGCTCGACGATGATTATTTTCGCTCGCGTTGCTTTCTATAAAAAGCGCCGCTATATATTTTACGGTGTCGTGATTCGAAGCACCGCCATCGAATCAAGCAAGAGCTGCGATATCAGTTCCTCGCCTTCTTCTACTCCTTCCTTCTTGTCCTCTATGTAGGGACAAGTGCGCTGGGATCTGGCCGGTCGTAAAAATAAATCCGGGACTCATAATCTGTTTGAGAGGATAGCGCCTTTCTCGTTTGGCGACAGGGGATCTTGGACCCGGACGATGATATGGTAGGGAAGGAGTTTTGCTCTTCGTTTTCAGAGAATTTCCTGTATTTCATCGTTCTTTTTTCTTTTTGATCTTCTTGGCGAACGCTTGTCGACCATTTCAAAATGTATTCGATTTGTTACCGGTGTTTAACATTTTTTTCAACCACCATCGGTAGCGGATTAACGTTATTGTTGCAATGATGTTATAGCTGGCGTAACACGGACGAGTAACTCGACCAGTGAAGTAGCGTAATAAAACTGTGCTTACGCAAACGATATTTCATGGCGGCGCGTGCGTTAGAGCGTCGACCATAAAACTCGATGAAATTTACTGAAATGGGACTTTACCACACTTGAAATCATCTCGTTTCATCAATACGTCGGTTCGTCTTAATTTGAACACACATATCCATACGGATGTATGAGAAAGTCGCACGATGGATAAAAAGGTTGCGCTTATTTCTTCTCCGTCTACCAGAATAAAAAGCCTTATACCATTTTGCAGAATATGTAAAATTTATACCATAAAATCATCATTTTCGCTACAAGTTGTCAATTTGTTTTTTCCAATTTTTTTTTAGCCACGTTTTTCCATAATTTCATTTTTGTTCTTATTTCGTAGCTTTAGCGTCTCTTTTTACATTTGTTTCACGCTTACAGAGAAAACCCGACGGTTCATTATCCTAATGTGACTGAGAGGAAGATAACCGGTGCCAAACGGGACCATTCGTGTTTCGTCGATAGCCGGCGGGAACAACCGAGAACGTCTCTATGTCGATGATGGATGATGGAAATGTTAACGAGGTTCCCCACAATAGACGTGAAGCAGAGCTGACCGGAACAACAATGCGGTGGAGGATGGATTTATCAAACGAGCGCTCTGTATGTAAGACGAATATGTGTTACGTAACGAAGTTACGAGTTACTTTTTTGGTAACTTTACTGGTAACTGCGTTACTTTTTTCCTTTGGTAACTGTAACAAAGTTACATTTTTTTGGTAACGGTAACGAATTTTATAATTACTTTTACAGTTACTTTTATAATAGATGTAAAAATTACATGTAACTGTTACATGGTAATTGTTTACTTTTAAAAATCGGTAAGTTGTTACTTTTTCTACTCAGTAATGAATAACTGTAACTTGTTACTTTTTTGAAAAAGTAACTTTCCATTTCCTGAAAATGTGTATTCATATTTGTAGAGACACATTTGTGCAGTAGATTTAAACATTACATGAAAAATAATTAAAAAATATTTCTCATGTCGTGCTGGACTTAACGCATCTCTTTTCGCAGTCGTTTCATTAATTAAGCTATTTTAACTTTATGAACCACAGCCAATATGAACAGATTTCTCGAATTCCTCAAGACTCAATGTGTGGGGTAGGTCACACGCATTGTCAATTCCAATCTGGGAGGCTTTACGGTGGAAGGGACGATGCTGTGCATTAGCATCTCGTATCAATATACATAGAATCAGGGCATGTACAATTTCATTAGCAATTACGTGTTAATTCCATGTTTCCAGCACAGGCTATTTTTGTGACAAAAGCAAGTGTTTCTGATTTGGCAACAAACCATTTCACCTTGTATTATCCATTTTTGGAACCATGCCAAGTTTATCAAGAATTGTTCTTATTGTCTCATCCATTCATTTTCATGTAACTGTTTCGTGTACTATACAATTATTTTTACGTACTATACAATTGTTTTTACGTAGGATTGATGACAAATTGGCATCGTATACAGAGTGTCCCATAAGTTTTCGCCAATTGCTTTTGTAGATAGAGCGGACTAAACTGAGTCGAAAAGTCTTCTTACCATTTTGCAATTTTTGCAATGATTAACGAGATATTAATTACTAAAAATCGCTAAAAATAAATATTGATTTTCAATAATTTTTTATTCAAATACTATCAACTTTACAAAAAAACTGCAAGAGACAAAAATCATTAATTTTCTTCCCATAGAACTCTAAGAATTTTTTCGGAATTTTTTATCAACTTTTTAGTACTGCATTTTCTTATTTTTACCAACATGAAAAAATACGGTATTAAAAAATTTCTGAAAAAATTCTCAAAACTTTATGAAAAGAAAATTAATCATTTTTGTCTCTTGCAGCTTTTCTATAAAGTTGATAGTATTTGAGTAAAAAATTATTTGAGACCAATATTTAGCAATTTTAGTAATTAATATCTTATCAACTATTGAGAAAGTTGCAAAATAGTAAAAGACTTTTCGACTCTGTTTAATCCGCTCTATCTATATAAAAAGCGATTGACAAAAACTTTCGGAACACTCTACACACACACACACACACACACACACACACACACACACACACACACACACACACACACACACACACACACACACACACACACACAAAAACACAAAACCGTTCAAATTAAATATAATAATAATGATTATCGACACTTACTTATAAACTTAATTTAAATTTTATTTTATGAATAAATTTAAAATTTTCTATTTTAAAAATAAATACTCTTCTCAAATTGTATTACTTTTAAATATCTCGTTTCTTTACCTGAGATCGCATGTGGTTCAGTCCTGGGTCAAAAGGATTAAGTTCCTTGACCCAAAAATAGGACCGACGTTCGCACTGTCCATCGGAATAAGTGTCAGCGTTTTTTCGGGACGTTGACTCATAAAATTGGATGTGGACCATAAAATTGTGCGTTCGATTTACAGATGTTCGCTTCTGTGCGTATATTTGTAAAACTGACCGTCTCTTCTTCCGTATCCTCTCCATTTTTCTTCATTATCTCCTCAAATTTTCTAGGGTTTGGACGTAACACCAGTTTCGGTCAAATTTCGGTAAAAACTCAGATTACTTACGTCATGATAAGCAAAGCGTTAAGTTTCTTTATTCTTAAATCAATACATCAGAGAGTCTATTAAATTCGTATCAATATATCGTCGTTGCTAAAAAAGAGAGAAAAAGTACAAGGAAAATTAATGTCAAAGTACCAGTGAGAGAAAGAACAATGAGGATCTTTCAATTATCGCTATAACTCATATGTATGAAAAACAGATAATGAAATGATACTTCCCAACGATGTTCTACATCGAATTTCACCGATGTCAGACCTGTCGGAAACTTGGAGCAAGAACGGGTTTAACGGGGTGATGGTGGAAGTGGGGAAGAGATGAATGTACCGCGATTATTTGATCTCTCATTAACATACGTGGTCCACGGGTAGCGTGATTCGTACACGTGTTACGTTGCGCACGCACACGTCTGTCGCATCGTGTAACGCGTATGTCCTATATCGGAGGTCGCCGTTCTCCATGCGTGCACGGCGTGGCGTGTGCTCGCCAGATGTCCAAGAGCGGGATGCTGGTGCGTCCTGCATCGTCGGGCACCCTCGGTTCTCCCACACGGCGCGGTTGCAGCGCGGCGCGACGCGACGCGGCGCGACGCGGCGCGACGCGGCGCGGCGCGAACCGACGCGGGTGGGTAGGAGAGAGGAACGACGCCGAGTGTGGAGAACGGAACCGTTCAGTCGCAGCCACGAAGCGGCGCCGTGCGCGACGACGACGACGACGACGGCACCGTAATCGTCGTCGACAACTTCGGATCGACGATATCCGCGCGCGCTTATATTTTTCTCGTCATCGCTCGTCTCGTCTCCGTTGGCTTGAGAAAGAAGTGCCATCGACTTCCGGGTCGGGAAACTTAATTTTCAACTTTCCGCTAATTCGCGATTTCTCTGTCTCGCGATTTTCTCGACATCTTTCGCGCCGCGGAGAGTGACGTGAGAGTGACGGCGCGGGCGCCCGACTCCAAAACGAACGATACGAATGATACGAATACTTTTTATGAACGTGCTTCACTTATCGGGAACGTGGTGGAGAACGAGCACCGCAGCGTGGGTAGCGGTGGTCGCATCTATAATTAACCTTGGAGGAGGCGTCTGGCAGGGGAACAAAGTACCATCTCGGCAAGAATTTAGGTCCATCGGTGAATTCTCGATGAAAAACGGACTCTTGGTAAATTAACAACGCGATGCAGAAAAGAACAGAGGATACGACTTGCGCATCATTAATTTTTATTCTTGAGTAAAAATCCGTTCCCTAATAAATGTCACGTTTTGAATAATTAGAGATCCATATGACAATACGTAGTAATTTTGGGAAGCGATCTTTAGGACATCTATCGAAAGAGGATTATTAACAGGCGGTATTAATGCATTCTGCGGAATAATGAACTTGAACCTGAATGACAGTTGTGGCTTACAAACCGAGTGGCTCGTCTATGGAACTGCAGGCAGTGAACTGTGCAATCGTTTGGAAGGGTAACTTTCTTGTGGTTTCCCAGTGTGTAAGTGGGAAATCGCTTCATCGTCACTCGGCATGAATTTTGCGACATGAGATATGTATGTTACAGAAACGGGAATCGGAATTAACCGAGTGACTCATTTCGGAGAAGTGATATTCTGAGCGACACTTCGGTCACGTTTTACGAGTCGAGTAATTCCTCGTGGAATCTGAATTAACGGCTTCGCCGTTGGCCTCTCGACGGCGACGTTACATCGGAAAACGACGACAAAGACCGAATGATTAAGAGGGAGGGAATAATTAAAGCAATCGGATGTTCGAACCTGTAAGAGAACGCATTTCCAGGCACGTTCTGATCCATGATTAGGAGGAGGATCGATCGATTTTGGAATTAACTGCCCACGAGTGTCAAACGGGCCGCGACAGGAACATCAATACCCTAATAAATGTCACTCGCACGATCGATCGTCGCCTTTTGCCAGCCATGACGTAAAGAGAGGATTTAACAGCGACGAGGGTCAACGTTGTCGAGAGCGGCTGTCGGGATCGGCTGTCCACGATCGTATGCAGGTCCCGATCTCTCGTGTGGGTGCGTCGAAGTTCGTGATCCTGACACCGCTTAGGGGGGTGGTCCCCTACAGTTATGCACGGATGGAGGATGAACTGCAGTGCGTGAGGGAGAGAGGTGATCGCTCCTAAACCGATGAGATGACAGTGCTGTGCGTGCTGTGGGCTACTCTGTCCACTGTGGCCTCGATTCTTGCGTGCTCCGGTTTTTATCTGCCTTACTGGATTCAGGTGAGCAATCGCGTTACGCGCTTTTAATTACAAACTTTTATGTCATTATAAAGAGCTATAAAAGTAGGGATGCAGCTTTCAAAAGTTCTTCAACTCCTCGCCGTTGGAGCAATGTTTAAAGATTATAAAAGTTAATCGCGAGGGAATCTTGAAGGAGTTAGGAGGTAGCCATAGATGATTAGCGAAACACGAGGGTTCTGTTCTTTCTGCTTCTTGTTTTTTTTTTTTGGATTCATGTAAATTAACACTAAATCTTTATCATTAAATCAATATCGCTTTTTTTTTCTCTGTCGCGCGATACATTAGTGCTCTTGGACGTTTAATAGTCATTAAAGTGTGACATTAATGGGGCTATAAAGTAGGGTATCGATAAATACGAAAGCAACTCGTCCAATCGGATAGGGATAAAATAGCGTTATTACCGGTCAACAACTGAATTAGTTCCTCGATGATATACTACTGGCAATAGTCCGATATGCATGATTAGCGAACAAATGATTGGTAGCTTTTACCAAATTTTTACAGGGAGAGAATTTTTTTTTATTTATCCTGAAAATATAGTAGTTGTCTCGGTAGTTGTGATATACTGAAAACGAAATCTTAATTTCAAAGAAATATTTCTTTGCTCTTCGTATTCAAAAAAATTTCTTAAATTTGGATCAATAAAAATTTCTTTCAAAATAAGATATTATTCAATATCTCATTTTGTACAATATCTGATTTTCAAATTTTCATTAATCCAAAGAAATCATTTTTTTTAATGTACAATACAATGTCTTAAAGATTTTTATCATGCACTGCAGTAAAATTAATCAAACTTATTTTATACATATTTTATTATAGTTTTATTAATGAATGAAAGAAATTTACGTAAAATTTTTTGAAATATATGCTGTCCTAGGAGACTACCATATTTTCAGAGTAAATTCTAAAAAAAAATTCTCTCCGTATAGCAACTTTTAGAATTATATTTATGAAAATTCACCTACGCTTACAAATTTAACTACACTGCTCTGTTCCATCACTATAAAATTGTACGACATCGTTTTTCGCGTTTTTGTGACATCGAAGGGTCATTCTGAATTTCACATACACGATCGTAGTTTTTTGCATTTTCCATGACATATCTCCGTATCTCCATAAGGACTTCGCATCGTTAACATGACGTGAAGATATGAAGAAGTCGTTTTCGCTTCTTCGCTTATCGTCGAAGGGTCTCGTATCGACAATTTTGACGACTGTGAGAATTTCTCTGGTACAATCATAAAGCGATTTAATAGGCGTGATAAAATCAACGAAATTTGCGTGTTCGGCTACGAATGTACTGGTAAATTCGTGAGTTTCAACGACGTGCATACTAAGAACGTTTCGTGATTTCAATAAGGCGTGTCAAGTTCGTCGATAAATTAGTGTACGTATCGAGATACGTTGAAATTATAGTTCAGGAGAGAACAGAATATTATATATTTATTAAACGGAAAATTCTATGTTTTTCTTACGTTATTTCTTACGTCGTGTGCTTTGCACGTATATTTAAGCGACAGTTCATTTATCACTCTCGAGCCATTCATTGGAAGATCAGACGGTTGAAACTCGCGAACTCGAATTTCAGGACTTGCTGAGGTCGGGTTACGAATAACGAGAGCGGCGCAACGGCTCTCCAATTCTCATTCCCATTAATTCTTGATTTCTGCTGCGTAGTTAAGTGTAATCCGATTATACGTGTATCGATGTATTTCTCAATAAATTAGCTGGGAACCGTGAATGCGAGCGCATGCCTTCGACAAAACGCGGATTAAAGGATATTCGTTTTCAAGCGCTTTTGCACTCGCGAGCTTTAATGTTGAAATAAGATTGCAACATTACTCGTGGATTACGTTACTAGCTATTTACGTTTCATTTTCGTCCGTGCACAAGATGTAAAATCGGACGAGGGATGAATAGCAGCGGAGTTTGCGACAGAGAAGCGAAATACAAAAACGGAAAATAGAGAAAAGAGCAACTTGGAAATAAGAAAAGCAGAGAAGCTAGAGAAATAAGAAGAGGAAGGAGGACAGCAAAGAAAACGTGAGAAATCGAACAAGCTCGAGTCATCCGACAAGATGGATCGTAGAACGGCGATAGTAATCGAATTCTTCGTTCTAAACCACGAACGAACCGACGAAACTAAAACATTAGTTCTACAGCGCAAACGTCTCCATACACAGATATTTGTCACGTAGTTAGTAGTTTAGCAAAGTTAAACGAACTAAAAGGAATTTATATTGTAATAAAGTAAAAGATATACGAAAGAAGAAATCTCAATATCGAAAGAAATATCAATGTATCATGTTAACGAATATGATAAAGAATTCGAAGTTATTAAGTTGTTCTTTAGACATTTGTAACTAGAATGGCAATAAAAAAATTAGTAAAAATGTATATTGAAAATTATAATAATAATTATATTCACGTAACGATACAATAATGCACTTAAACATGAAAAAGTCCTATGGGTAATTCAGACAATTGATTAATTTCACTCTAGCTACAGTTCGTCGCACTACAATACGCATTGTCAACAAGTGTAACAAGTCCTGATTGTGACGCGAAGCAAAATTTCGGTCCTTGAAACTTACTGAGACGTTCGTTACGCGTACAAGATTCTTGAACGCGACAAGAACGCTTTGGGCACCGATAACTTGGTAGAGAGAAGTTGATGAGGCGAATATCGTCGGGTAACTTTGTACTTCGTGTGACTGCTACTTGCTTTTACCTGGTCTGGCCGATGTTGTCTGGCAGATTCAAGGTAGTTTGGCCTCACTCGCGATCAAATTGTTCGTATTCCACGCGTCACGTCGCAAACGAAGCCGCCTCTCGAAAGTGAGAATCCTGCTTTTCAGAATTACATGGTCAGATAACTGCAACTTTTCCCGCTTCAAATCTGTTTTGCATTTTCTCTAGGCAGCTAACTTTGTAAGCTTAACATAGACTTGACGAACCTTTTTACGGTTTTAGATTCCGCGGAAAGAAATTACAGTTTACTTTTCCGAGATCTTGTTACCGTTGGTCGTGGATATTCGTTTCTGAGAGCTCGTTTGTATAGTTTAGGATTAATGACGTATCGGTTCTCCGTATAGCGAATCACCGAAGGAATCTAGAGCTATAAAGGGAGCCTTGTTACAAGAGGAATCTTGTTAGCCAAAGCGTTTCATCAGTTTAATTAACAGATGGTGCTTCTCTTTAGAACCAATCACACATGTGTATATTTTGTCTATGTGAACTTATCTTCTTTCTTTAGAATTTATAGCATGTAGATTTATAAGCGTATAAATTAAGTGCTACATTTTATGACATCACGCTGGTAAATAAATATAATTATTAACTCTACTGATTTGTTCGGATCTACTTGACTCAAAATGTAATTTTCATATTAATATTTGATTTAAAAACGTTTTTCTCTCGTATTTGATAACTTCATTTGTTAGTGTAAAATCCTTTTCTTGTATAAATTTTTTTTTTTTTAGAATTTTTAATCACATTGATCCAAACGATATAATAAATTTGAATAGATCGGAGTATAGTAAATTTAAATAGATCAGAGTTAACATAAATTTCCATACGAATGCATTTATTTTATACGAACGTAATTTTGCATGATGTATCTCGCATATAGTAATATATCGTTTGTATGTATCTAACATGATTTTTTTCAGAGCTTTGTTTAATTAGGATTTATGCTTGAACCAATTTTGTCACTATGGAAAAGTAAATTTTTAAAAGATAATTCTTTTTTCAATAAAAATATTATTGTAATCCTCTTCTTAGATTAATTATTATATAAATTTTTTGTTCTTAGAAACGTTTAGATTCATTTGTAAGCAGGAAATAAGAAATTTAATTTAAAAAAAAAAAAGAACTTAATAAAATAAGTTCTCTTCGTTTAATTTTACGTCTAGTCAGAGACTTTTATTATGGTATATTAATGGAAACAAATGTGAAAACAGTAACATGCTTGAAGAAAACGGCATTTGGCAAACGACAAGCGAGCTTATTACTTCTCCGCCAGACGGTCACGTTATATTTTTTTCGTATTAAGAGAAGCAATCAAAAGCATTCAAACAGGACGGCGAGACATTTTCTTTGGCGCCGTGTAAAATCTGTTGGAAGGAAAGGAGAGAAAATTTCCCTTGCTATCGCCTTCGCATATAAATGAATAGTCTGTATAAGTCTTTTGCCCCGGATGCTGTTGCATGTTCGCGCGACGCGACAATCTTTCGTGCCACGAATCAGCAGCGTTCAAATGACGTCGACATTCCTACTTTACACTTATTCAAATATTCCTCATCTTATTTCTGCTATTACCTTCCATTCTACAAACAACTCAGGAAAGTTACATTAGAAAAGGGGAATGAAATTAAGTCCGCAAATTTCTTTAATATTTATGAGCTCTATGTATTTTCATTGGCGGCGCGGCCTGTAATTTTAAGTTTACCTATCTCCATTTTACTGAAATTAGCGAGCTTCGGCGTGTTTTATACAGCTTTTATTATAAAGCCTAGCGTTAAAAAAAAAAACGATAATAGAGTAACAAGCGCATTTCCGCGATTTTGTGCATTTCAGGGACGACTGTTGGGGAAGGCCGACGCGTACTTCAGTTCCTTTCGGCGTTGCAACTACCCGCGAATCAGGGCGCCCAACGCCACGCCTGAGATAGTTTACGAGTGTGCGAGGTATTCCAGGTACGCATTCTCGCATCACTATATCACTATTCCCATATCAAAGTGAATGGGTGCAAGTACGTAACTACGATTAAGGATCTCGAGGAGCAAGAGATCTCTGCTCATAGGGCGTTCGAAATGCTCGAAATGCTGTGGAACAGTTGTTCACTGAATCTGCTCGAGTCATTCTCGTGGACCAACGAGCCGGTTAACTAAAACGAGAACGATTCCGGATTTCGAATGCCGAACGCCTCTCGTCACGCGCGATTTTAATTACCTCATTTTAACGAGATCTCTAATTCAAGAAAATATTATTCGGATGATCGAGATCGCAGAGCGCGTGGACGAATTGTTATATTATCGAAATAAAATAAAATATTCGTTCCCTGCGATAGGAATATGGAGGAAAATTGATACGTGTTTTACGTATGATGCTTTTTATTAATAAATAATAATAACGATAATACATGTAACGTCGTAAACTAATTAATACAACCGAGGATTAAACGCTTGCTGGAAATGAACGTTCAGCGCGAATCGTGAAATTTAAATTACACAAACTATGTCGTGCGCGTGGAAAAAGAAATTTGCACACATTCGCGAGGGAGTAATATTCGAAGTTTTGGCGACAGACGGATTAATTTGAGTTTAGAATCCGGATAATTTTAGTCGGACTCAAGCGTACAATTTGTGGAATAATTTCTTACAAAATACTTCGCAAGGATGTCGCGATCGCATGAAAAAAATGGACATGTCGTGCTATAAAAACTTTCTTCGCAAACTACATCAATTTTGTCGCGTACGCGGTCGTAAAAATCGTGATCGCTCGAGGCATTATTGTTAACAAAAGGAATTATGAAGAATCAAGTACGAAAGAAACGACACGATTTTTTTCTTTTTTCTGCGCAAAACACATTCAGATTTAGAGAGATGGCGTATTACGTAAAACACTCAAAGAACGATTACATCTTATTGGTTTTATCTAAATGAAATTTTTTTTCGCCTGTTAGAATGTAGAAATTAATTTACGGTCAATCCTCTTAAGCTTCCGAGCGTGAAAAAAAATGAGTTAAGTACCATTCGATTTTCTATGTATTTTCAGAGCTTATACTGGAAACAATATATAGGTGTCTGTTAAGTTTTGACAAAGCGTTTGTATGTAGATAGAGACTAAACTGAATCCAAAAATCCTCTACCAATTTGCAATTTTTGCAACTTTTGTTTTAGTTATTCAATGAGCAGAATGTTTAAAATCGACGTATAAAACAATTTTAAGATATCTTTAAGAATTCTTTAAGATATTTCATAAAGAATACCAAAGAAATCTTAAAGTTGTCTTATGCTTCAATTTTATGATAATATCAACAATTTTATGATAATATCTCGTTAACTATTGCGAAAATTGCAAAATAGTAGAGGACTTTTCGATTCAGTTTAGCGTTCTGTCAAAACTTACCGGACATCCTGTATAAACAATAACTCTAAATTATATTATATAATTAAAAATATATTTGAGTTACACGTAACTTACATTAAACTTGTATTAAAATAAATTTGCATTCATTAAGCGTGCATAAAAATAAATTTTGATGATCTTAATAATGTTAACATCGTTAATATCAATATACCAAATTAATCGATATACATTTGTTTACGTGATAACACCGATAATGACCATAATAACGATAGTCGCAATAACGGTATGCAAAATGCGCGTGATTAATCGGATTTAATTGTATTTTGAGTGCAAAATATAAAGGTATTTGCAAATCATGTGTTTTTCTACTGATTATATTTTTCCACAACTATATAAAAGATCCCTGTATTCGCTCTGTAAAATCGATGAAAATGTTAAAAACAAAAATTAAAGTCTATTCCAATTACAAAAATTCGAATTACGGTACATCTGCTATCGACTGCAAAGAGGATTTGCGATCGAAAGTACATGCGAAGTTTGTATGTATGTGGTAAAAGTAAGCAACGACCCATGACAAATTATGCAAGTCCTCTTCTTTTTTGTTATTTGCGCACTCGTTGATTGATCTAACACTCCGTCCTCGTACATCGCTGATGCGCTCGTAATCTGTAACGTATTTCGCGGATAGTCGTAGAAATCGTAATATATCTGAGGTTTAATTTAATGCCGCTTGATGAGCTTTACCTGACAGTTAAGAGAATTACAGCGTTTTGCACTACATGAGTTGTTAGTTTGTTACAGTTATAACGGACAATATGATCGATTTAGCTATACATGTATTGATGACGTCAGTAGCGGTATAGAATTGTGTGGAAATTGTTCTGACAATTGCGTGTGTCCTTACTTCACGAGAGCACATACAATAGCGGAAAAGACAAAAAATAAAGTAATGCGCGTATCACTATTATACATTTTTCAAAACGCTAGTCAACAGACATGGAACTTGATTTTCTCTAATGCGCTTTATTCTCGAATCAGTTTTAAAACAAGCGGATTTCGACATTAATATCACGTTAATTAAGGTATATGACTATTATTATAATGTAGTTAAAATGGAATTATTGCCTTAATATTTCTATCTTTGGGAGGTTTTTTTTTGTAAAAAAAAAACGTGTACTTTTCATTAAGAATAGAATGTGGCAAAGACGAGCGTGTCGACATTGAGTCATCCGCAGATTTAATTCTTATACTCTTTCTAACGAGATCTCGCTTCGAAAAGGAATATAAAAATATGTATCTCGCGTATGTACCTCTGATTTAATTTTCGTAAATTCGTATGTAGGTCGGATGGTGTCAGTATTATCATCCTATGAAACTGCTTCACGTTTCCTTTTTCATCTGTCATATAGACTCGGCCAAATAAAGATTCACTCGTCGGATCCACTATCGATATTAGGTAGTGATGCTGATAAATTTTTCAAGGAAATTTAATCTTAATGATTAGATCTGCTGTGAGTTTAATGTTGGCATTTTTGACATTGCAAAATGCATCTTACATTGTTATTATTATTACTAGTATTATTGCTGTTATTATTATTATTATTATTATTATTACGTTGATTTCGTGATGCGTTAACAACTTTTTTTGCATCCGCAGCATCGCAATGTAAACTCACCGGATACGCATTATAGCTGTTTCAATATCTGATTCTCGAAAGTGTCGGTTGTACCACAAGCAATTTCCCGATTGGCCAAAATGTGCACGATAGCATAATCGTACACACGCGAAATGTGTTTCTCCCTTCTCTTCCACCCTCTAATGCAAGCAATACAAGCACGATAAGTGCTAATAGTTGGCCTCTGCAAATCGAGACGTTTCGATAATTGTATTAACGTTACCTTTCGGCATGTAATCAATTCGGCAATTTATTCATTAGTTTCACGGCACACAAACTTTATAAAATAATTTCATAAAAAATATTCAAAGTTATCTTTTATGTCATTATTATACTATTAAATATTCTTTTAGTAGTACAGTTATTGCAATGGCATTTCAATAAATATGCACAAAATATTTCGAGAATTGGATTTATTCAAAGTTAGCTGACACAGAAAGCTATACGAGTTAGCAACGCCTGAAATAAATAGTAGGTCGAGGGAAAAGTTACGAAAATGTAAGAAATACGAGTGGCTTCAATTTCGCTCGCTACGATTAATAATTTGTTTTTTTTTTTTGCGAAATAAAAGACGGAACAATATACAATGTTTTACGTCGAAACACCATCCCGAAAAATATCGTGTTTAGTCATATGATTAACAGATCAAAACTTTGGGAAGTTAAAAACAGATAATACAATATTTTACGCGACGATATCTCTCACAAATAATATTTGCATAGAACGAAAAATATTCCGCATAGTTTTGTTCGTTTCTATATCCTTTCGCATCACCCTTTCGTTTTTCGGCATCGGCAGTTTCACCAGAGAGCCGATTCTTTATTTGAAATAACATTCAACGTTATATTTTTCTAAATTTCTATAGAACGTTTGTTTGTGTTTGTTTCTGCTTTATAATATTTTTTATTGATAAATTATAGCATATTTTGTGCACTTGAGAGATTCAAGTTGCGAGTCCAACATAAAGATATCAGCTGAAAAACTATGTAAATTACATAATGTAAATTATCAATTTTTGTTCAAAATACCAGAAAATTCTGCAAATCCATCACATAATTTAACTTAATTTTGCTTAATTTCGCTGTGAAAATTTTGATTGTATATCGAAATGCAATAGCCGAATGATTTTACATATGAGTTAGTTTCTATAATATTATTGCATTATTGCATCAGGATGTAATTATATGAAAATAAATTTACTCCCTCGTTTTGCTTGAGGCATTGGCTCGATAAATTCGCGCTAATTTTGTCATATGCACCGCGCACGTTATTGATTAATGTAGAAAGATAAATATATAAATACCGAATAAAGTTTATTTCATTAAATTCGTGGTAAACACATTGTGAACTAATTGAAACTTTGATATTATTTGAATCTATTACACAATTAACAAATAAAACATTTTTCCACCAATAATCATAATATTTAATATATTCGATTTCTTTCAAAGAATCATTAAATAATATTCTTGTTGCCACTGACTGTATATAAACATTCTTTTTAGAGATAAAGATATGGAAAAGGTTTTTTAATTTAAATTATTGAAGAGATTTTTTTTTTATAAATAAGCGATGTTTCGTTGCAGTTTTTGGGACATACCGAGTGCTTGGTGGCAGGCGAGCACAGTCACGATGGGTATCGGCGTCGCGATTGCCGTGATCGGCGCCCTGACACTTTTGGCAGCGGCATCGTCGTTCCTCCCGCATATTCTCAAAACGCCAAAGCACACGAGGATTCTTGGTTCCTTACAATTGCTCGCTGGTGAGTGTATTATATTTCTCCCAACTTGTAATTAAATTTCGCTGTTACATTATGTGCGTCCATCCAATGTTACCATCAATGTTCCGTTACTGTTATCATTTATGAAAGAAAAATATTTTTCGCATTTCATTAAATTATGTACGATAAAATAAGCTTCGAAATCCTTTTATTGAGCATGAAAGAAAAATAATGCACCTTCGAAAATGACAACCCATCCCTGCTGCGTTTCAAATTGATGCGAAAGCAATGGAGCTGCGAGAGACTCGCATTTCACAGCGAAATAATGAACTGTCCCCAAATAAAATAGATATCAAGCGATGTCATTCTTCTTCTAACATTGACATATTCCATTTACGCGCTTCAAGTTAGCTCGTTGTTTTCGATCCTTTTCTACGTTCAAGGATTACTTTCGAAAAATGACTGAGTCACAGACATGATCGATGCAGGATGAAGCCGGGAATGTCATAATACTATTTTTTTTTTCAGTAGAAAAGCATTTGATTACGTAACATTACGTTAAAATTACAAATTTCGCGTGAGCAATGCAGCTTTTTTCGCTAAAATATTCATATTTTGCAAGGAAAGCAATTTCGCAATCTAATCTCTAATTATTCATCTTTATAAGTAATATTTTCAAGGGGAAGAAATTTATTAAACACACACATCTTAACAATATTATCAGTACTACAAAAGAGTAAACAGATGAGAAATTAATCGATACTTTTCAACGGCAGCTACACTGTTAGAAATGTTTGTAAATTTACAGTACCCTTACAACAAAAATGTGCAGTAAATTTGTAAAACTATATAATGTTTTACTATATATATATATATATGTGTGTGATTTTACCATATTTGCAAATTTTTGCACATTTTTGTTGGATCAAAATTTCCAACACTTTCGCAAGTTTACGAGAGAAATTTCTTACGGTACAAATTCAAGCGGGTCAATTTAAAATTGACAAGCCGTTTTCATTTACTTGTTACAGCCACGATGATATGCGGCGGCCTGGTCATGTATCCGATAGGCTGGGATAATCGGGAGGTACGCGAATCCTGTGGGAAGGGAGCCAACGTTTACAATCTCGGTGAGTACCCTCGTCCTCGGAACATCGTTTTCGAGTCTGCAGGTATCGCGGGATGCAAACCGCGTGGAATGGTGCCGGAACTTAATTTTGGCGGAATGTGGCGCACGAGTTTATTGATTTAATTTGATAACTAATTAACGTGCTCGACAGACTCGCGCGCGCGCGTGCTTTAGTCGCTCGTTTCCTAGTTTAATGACGTCTTCAGCGAGAAATTGCCGTTCCAATGCGACGCGACGTGGTGAAATCTGCGGATGTGTGTGTCTGTACGTAATCACTCTTAAGACGTAACTACCAAGTAACGACGGCGATGATGACGACGGCGACGATGGACTGGAATCAGTAATGGAACTTTCTGCATTTTCGCAGGCGAGTTCCCGGAGCGTTTTATCGAACACTCAACGATTTACAGTCATTTCTTGAGACTTAACGTAAATCAATCGAGACTTACGGCTCTTGCGTGTAACTTTACTTTCTCGCTGCTCTCAGATGTAGTTTCCGATTTCCTCGTAATTTCCCAACGCGACACGTAACGATGCGGCTCGACTTCGGCGATCCGTTGATTTTCCTTTCAATATTCGAGAGATAATTTCGTTATTGATTCTCCATGAATGCGGATGTATACGTTGTATTTCGTATGGAGGATCATCTCTGATAAATCCGCATCCGGTTTAACCGCACGATAGAATCCGAAGAAAATATTCGTTTATTTATTTCATACTGCTGCGTCAAATAGAAATTGTCGCATTAAGATAATCTTAAATTTTTTCTTGCATAACGTGAAGATTCCATCAAGATGTCTCAACTTTTTTTGAGTTATAATGTATGAATAAAGCAATTTTGCAATTCGACAAAGGAAACTTTTGATAAAATTAATCAATTTCGGTATGTTTTGAATGTGGGCGCGATTGTACATTTTTTTGATAGAATTTTGAAGAGTTATCGAATATCCAGCATAATCCGTGCTATTCGGTGTACAGGTGACAAGTAATCCCAGGTGAATGCTAGAAATAGATTCGGATTGGTAGGTCAAACCGACGTCAAAACCAACGTCACAGCGATGACGACCGAATCACATATATTTCCAATAGAGTATCGTTAGTTAAACGACATCTCTTGCAAGTTGAAAATTAAACTTATTTATAAATTTTGATAGAAGCACCAGTATGTTCCAATTATCTAAAATTGTTCGAACCGATTATTACCATCGATATATTCCCAATTATAACACAATCGCAAATAACATTTCTATTGTTTTAACGTCAAATTAGATTTATAGGTATTCTATTTACATCACAATATCGGTTATACTTATTATTACGTTCATTTATGTCATTATATTATCGTCGGGTTTAAAATAGAATATTTCGCTCTGTTTATTTCTATCGAAAACATTTATTTATACTAGTATCAAGATAAGCTATTATATAAAATTGACAAAATTAATAATATAATATTTAATTCTTTGCCGACAATATGGAGTTTTAACTCTTCCATCATCGTAGGGACCTTTGAGAAACACGAGTAAAATTTTTGTTCCGGATTATATAAAAATCTGAAAAAATTCTGGTATATTGTACTTGTTAAAGCTTTAACCCTCCGAGAACCAAGTGGGGTGATGACATATTCCAGCGAGATGAATTTCTGTAGCTTTTTAGAAAATATCGCGCGCATATCATCGGTTTCATGCAATTGAAAAGTTATTACCAATCGTACTAAATTAGTATATTTATGATAGATATTTATGATGAAGTCTAGCGGAGTATAAGATATATTCATATATGATCTATGTGTTGATTTTTCACCTGGTTCGCGGAGAGCTAACAACATTTTTTTACTGTCATATGAATTGGACATTTTCTTATTTTGTACAGATTTAAGTCTGTCTATCAGAATTAACAATCGAAATATCGATGGTGCCTTTAAGACTCCATGTTCCCGGCAGGGGATTAAAATTGATCATAACAATATCGTAATGTTTTTTACTTAGAGCTGTCGCGTCATTAAAAAGCAATCTTTTATCTCTCTAATAGTAATATTTTAAAAGATATTTTCTTAGATGAGACAATTATCTCCTTAATTCCTGATAATATGGTCTACGCCATAAAACGAATCTGTCCGTTTCAATTTAGTCTATCTTAGTGCGCTGATTGAGGCATTACAAGCGACGATTACATTGAACCTCGGCACGACGATTAAGGCCGACTAAGGTATTCTCGGAGAAATTCCCGTGGGTAGCTACGGATCGGTGTCGAGGTTTCGCCAGGAGGAGATCACCGAGACGAGTCGATGACGGACGGATGCCATCTGTTTCAGGGAAGTGCTCGGTGTCCTGGTCGAGTCACTTGCTGGTCGGTTCGGTGGCGTTGCTGATGCTGTGCTTCGGCCTGAGCTTCTGCGCGGCGCGACACAAGCCCGACGCGAATCCGCACACGGATCCCCTGCGCATTTGACAATCGAGGTACTCCCAGTCGATACACGCCTACGCCTCGCCGAAGACGACCACCCTCTCCATCGTCACGGTCTGTTGATCACGCGTGCCTGTTGCGTGCACGAGTATGTGTCATCATCGCGCGTACAAATACCGCGTGCGAATTCCGCGCATCGCGGCATGCATGAAACCGCGTTCTCGTTGCGCGCGCGTGCATGTACATATGTATGTTTGTATTTTTCAAGCAGGGCGTGAGTGCGAATTTTTCCGCATATTTTGCGATGATTTAACGCGTGGTTCAACATAAACGCATTCCCTGCGTGCGCGAATAACCCCCCGTTAATATTGACGTTGACTCACAATACGGATCAGCGAGACGGACATTATAAATGAGCATTGTGATCTCGTAGCGTTCGACAGACAGAACGATTAATAATTGAAGTGAAATTAACGGGATAGATACGAGTCGATAGCTCGAAAGGATATTAATCTTTAGTTCGTCACGATGATATGACGTAGCGATCGAAACTCAGAGATGCTATCTTCGACGAGATTCAGCGAGATTCGTAAAGTTCGAGGCACTCTCTATGATCCCCTGACCAACACAACTGATATATTTCCTTGCGAACAATCCGTGAGATTTCGAAATCACGTCCGCAAGAGATCCGGGAGATTTCCGGGAGATTGATTAAACTTTTGACAGGTTAACGCGTATCTACCACCCTTTCTATCTCCATCGAAACAAATCCTGCACAAGTCTTTGTACATAGCTCGCAACCTGCATATGTACGTATGTATATACACGCCGGAGTGAATCCCATAGTCCTGACTCCTGTCTCGCCGGTTTCGCCGATCTCGGCAGACGGTTGGAGAAAGCCGCGCCACGGTATTTCCAATTTCGTGCCGTAGTAAGCCCCCGGCTGAGAGCGACGAAGCAATTGGCAATTCGCCTCGACGGGACTTTCAGCACTTTCAATTCGCACGGAGAGACGGGCTCGCCCGTTCTGCTTGCCGGGCGAATACACACGGTGACTGGAAAGGACGCGGGAGACGGGGAGATGGACACTCCTTTCCTCTCCTCTCCTCTCTCGTCCCGTATCGAGAGAGTCCGCATTCAGATGCGCTGTAACGATCACGATATCCAGGAGAGCTGCTGCACGCTCTGCCCTCTCCTCGGTCCTCGTCGAGGACTGGGAATCACTGTGTTTCCCACGGTCCGAAAGCCTTTCGGATATATCGATCGCGAAGACGCGCAGAACGTTTCGACTCTCCAGAGATTTGCACGTTCCTCTTATTTATCCTCGTCTCTCGGATTCTCCCCTCAAGACGCTATTTCCTTCGTGGAAGTAATGCGTTGGCTCAACCGTGAGTGTCGGTTTAGCGTTCTCTTAAAATTTATTTGGATCTACGATTCCAGATTTTATTTCTAGGATATATTATCTCTTCGTCTGGAATTTTTCGTCTTCCAACTTTTTACGAGATAATCTCTTTCTGGGATAACTGTTTTTTAAATAATAGAAAATTGTTATATTCCTCAAAAGATCCGTCGGCACTATTTTATCAAACGGCAAGCGATTGTTGTCCATATTGAGAATCGCGGAAGCGTTGAGAAAACTGGGTTCAAGTCGGAAAAGCGGATTGAGAATTAAACGGGTGGCGAAATCCGCGTAATTAAAAGATAAAAGGATCAGAGAGAAGATCAGAGTTCTGGGGTTGATGCGGGTAGTAGTTTATTTGTATCGTGGCTCCTATCTAAAACTGTCCGCGCCGGTCTTTCACTTCGCTCTCTTTTTTCCAAACGGAGGAATCAGAAGGTCGAGTTGGCTAAAGAGAAATATTTTTTTTTTTTGTCGAATATTTGATAGTCTCGTTTAAACTTTCAACTGCAAACCGCGACGTTTACGAGAACGACGCGCTAAAAGTCCTCTTTATTTTTATTTCTCATCAGTTTAAAAAAATTCGCGAGCGCGAATTGATGCCTTCGTACTTTTTTGTCAAGCAAAACGACCTTGCAATTTGCCGCAAAATCTCGCTGTCTCGCGGTGCTCGTTCTCGCGAATATCGAGCCACCCCCGTACAGGGTGGTACCTCCCAGGTAAAAAACAGCCCGCGGCCGTACCTGCATGCGCGATATAAAAAAAAAAAACGTAATATTCAGAGCGCGTATGTAAGCAAGGTGTGTATGTGTTAGCCCCGGTGAAATTCGCAATTGCGGGCGCGGTTGAATTTCACGTGCTGATGGAACGGCGCGCACAAACGATGGCCGCGCGTTATTCGGTGAAGGCATCGCTATTGGCCGGATAAAAATCCGAGCTGAGCAAACACGCCGGAGCATGTTCCGTTCGCGCGGGTTCTCCACGCACCGCTTATTTCTTGCATTAATCGCCATTTTTTTCCGCACGCGTATGCGTGCGCTCCTATTGTGGCGCATGAAATAAACGGACTCTCGCCGTGGTTCCTCCACTGTCGTGCGTCTGATACAAATCGTTTCATCGCGAATAAAAGAACCAACGGTGATATGGTTACCGTTCTCTCCTTCTCTCCCCTTCTCTCCGTGCATTCAAATATTCTGACCATGGAAATCGTCGGGAATTCCGAATATCTCGATTACCCATTATTGACGCGAAACGAAGTCACGTCGCGCGCATCGGCATGGCTTTCGCGATCGCAAATTGCGCGATACTCTACTGTAGGTGTCATAAAACTACTGAAAGCTTTTTGCGTTATCTACTTCGTGTACTTCAATCTGGATTTAGTGCTTGTCAATGCGCGAGCCCACATAGCGTTACCGAAATCTACGAATTCCGATGAACGCGTCAATCGTTTCCGCTGGATCGAGAATGTGCTCACAAAGTAGAAAGTTCCGATTTAAATATCATGTCTCGTGCACATTACAATCTTTTTTATTACATACACACATATTTGAGATAGCTGGTTTAATTAGCTTCCTCTGAAACTTTTCTCCCGATACTCAACAACATGCGTCGTAGTCGTATCTTCTTATTTTCCAATAAGACTTTCAGCAACTTCCGCATCTCAAACCTCTAACTCGATTCACTCGTTAACTCGTGATTCGCTCACAGTACTACTAGATCTACTACACCGTGTTCTTCCCTCTAAAGCTGCAACTTTAGGCTTCCACCGAGAAGTACAGTCCCCTGAGCGGGACTTAGTAAAAAGAGAGAAAGAGAGAAGGAGAGAAAAAGGAGAAGGTGAAGGAAACGAGCCGCCTCGCCGCGCCGGTTCCGGATCTATCGATCGATGGGGTTGGTTTCCTCGTTCGCGCTGGTAGAACGGACGTTCTGTTCGTTCCCTCGAGAAACTTTCGCGGTAAAACCTCTCCCGTTCGCGTGCGCATTCTCCAACACATCCCGTCCCTCATTCGTTCCGTTCTTTTTCCTAGCTCGTCGTCCTTACCTCCTCACCGATCTTTCCCTCTTCCATCTTTCGCTTACGCGCTTCCACAACGCCGCTTTCCCCGATTCCACTTTGCCTCTTATCGACTTCCGCCCTTCCTTCCTAAACCTAAGGACTCGCCCCGGCCATTTCTCTCATGACCAGCCGACACCACCAACCGTCGAAGGTGGGGAAAAGAGATAGCCGGAAAAGCGAGCGAGTTCTCGTGACTAATTGAGCTATCGGTTCACCAGCGAGAGAGATACGGTAGATCGTGGCGAAAGGGAACGATTCAAGAGCACGAGGAATGTCTCGACGAACCAAGCAAGTCCTTGTGTGTTTTCGCTCGCTCGATTCCATGAGCACTTATCGTACAGAGCTGGCCAGAGCCATTTTGCTGTCTCTATAAACGTACCGTGTCTGCAACTAGTTACTTGCTTGCTTAGCTGTCCTTAGGGAAGAGTCTCTATAAGGACTACGAGCAAATTCCTGCGTCAGTTTATTTCTCTCTCCGTTCTTCTGCTTAATCTTAATTTCGCCACGACTGTTTCCACCCTCTATAATTCGGTTTCTCGGGCAAGAGGCAAGAAGTGAAAACGATAGACTACATTTCACTTAAGATATTAGCAAGAACTTTACGCTCGATATACATGTACATTTATTCGTTTTTGCAGAAATGCAAACGATAACCAGACCGAGGCAATATATTCAACTCTTTCCTTTTATCCAATCTTAATGAGTTTTACGTACTACTGATTAACAGTGTGCATAAAAATAAAAGATAATTTTTTTATAAATGCTCAATCGTACCTTAAAGGATTGAAGGATTTCTTTGAAACAACATTGATTACTATTTTGAGTAAATGCTGTCGAAATAATAAGAGGAAATTAATCTCTATAATCTAGATAATATTTTTAATACATATCCTCAGCTCTAATTTTACGATTTTTCTAACAAGGAAACACTGAAGGTGTCCTTCTCCGATTTTAATAAGCTTTAATTGTATTGTTTTCCACAAAAATGAGGAATATGTGGAAATTTTTTAAATAAAAGTAATATGTATCTCTTATTTTTGGAGAATAACTTTATTACAATTCAAAACACAATAAAATCGAAAAAGGTAAAAGCAAAAATTAGAATGAAAAAAAAAACAGCCAGAAAGTAAAACATAAAAAATTGAAATACATATATATAATTGTTTTTTGAAAATAATTTTTCACGATATTTTAGAAAAATATTGTAAATATCGCTATGCGCGTCACATCTATGTATTTTAGGTTCGCTGTTAGCAACAGTTTTTTTATTTGTAATATATTACAATGCAAAATACATTTAAGGAAAATATGGTTATAAATAATTTTTATGCATAATTATAATCTGTTTGTTAAAATAATAACGTGAAAACGTTTTTGATGAGACATCAAAAGCTGCAGAATGATGTAGTGAGATAAATGGTGCACACTGACGCAGTAGCATAATTTTATTTGCAACAATATATGCATCGTATATAAGCATATGGTAATGAGACCGTCGTATCAATTTTCCAATAAAATTTATTTTCAGTGAAATAACAAAATTATATTTTAATATAAAATATAATCACGTGAGAGAGAGAAGAAAGAGAGAGAGAGAGAGGGAGGGAGAGGGGGGAGAGAGAGAGAGAGAGAGAGAGAGAGAGAACTGTGAAAGAAATGAAAGAAAGTTAAGACCTGATTAATGCGATTACAGGTAGTTCGCACGACAATATACCGGAAAATGTCAATTTCTATCGTAGAAAAGAAAGTTCGCCAACGAACTTAAACGATTTCGATGTCCCCACTGTTCCCAAAGTTTCCGTTATGAGTCTTGTGGTCGCGAAACAACAGTTTAGAACGGTTTTTCGAAGCAATCGAGACGTCCTTTATCGTGACGATTACGGTTTTCTGCGATTTTTGTTTCGCCGTGCAGTTCTTTAGAAAAGCCTTTCAATGTCCTAAATTGAATCGAAAAGATATTCAAGTCATAATATCGGTTAATTTCGGAGAAATATATTTCTTTCAAAGCAGTCTCATATATAAATTGATGTATTATGATAGTTTATAAAAAATAAAAACGCAATGTATTTATATTAAAAACCCAAAGAATGTTCGAATCAGTAAACTTTCGAAGAAATAGAAGAATCTATTTATGTATATTTATTTTACTTTGTATTTCCGTTTCTATTTTAATTGATTCTACAGTAGAAATATTCTATTACTTTTTGGCATCTTACCAAGAAGATTCGATCTATTTTCTTTCTCTTCTCTACATAATGAAATATTCATAAAACCAATATAACAGTGAATGTATATATTATATGTATGACGAAATATTATACAAAATGGAAGGACAAGAATTTCTAAATCTTCAAAATGTATGCGATGTCAACGCGAATGAATAAAATCAACCACGAAAAAGCTGATATATATTCTTAAAAAAAAACAAAAATAGCAAAACATATATTTTCTAAAAGAAAAAAAATAGTAAATATTGCAAATACATTCGATTTTGTTTTATTCCAATTTTCTCAGAACTTATTGAGAGCTTCAAGGAAAAATAAAAAGTATAAAAATTTACATCCAGCAATATTATACTATAACTGATTAAAGTGCATTAAAAAATAGGAAAATTATTATTAAAATTATATAAAATTATTAATATTTTTTGAAAAAATATAGGAATTGAGTTTGAAGAATTATTTAAACCTCCTATACGATTGAGTACTTATAAAAATGTTTTATTACAGAATGTTTGTATCTTAGATTGTTCTATTATACAATATCACGTGTAGTATTTGACAACCATAAGATTCCATATTGATTACTATATAATCTAATTTCAATTCTTCAATTGTCTCATCGCTGATCCGCAGAATAGTCACAACTCGAACAGTCGGCAACAAGATAGAAAGAGCCACGCTAATTCGTCTTTGTGAAGAGCAACGAGCTCTTTGATTAGCTTCTGCCTGTGATCGAACAGCGTAAAGCTTTCCCGTTAATTTGACACTTTCAATGCACGATCCAATAATGAGGGATACTGTTTGACGGTATTTCCCGAGGATTGAATGATCAGGGAGAGATTGTGATTAATCCTGTCGAATTGCCGGTAGCTTCGTAAAACGATTATTATTATCGGCAATGAGGTGTCGATTAATCAATCGATACTTATCCGCTGCGTCCTTAATTGTTTATTTATTTTCTCGCAGCGTCACAGGAAGGCAATTGTCAGTCGGTGTTATATTACGGCCGTAATAATTTCGACAGCTCGGAAGTGCTGAAAAATATGAGATATTGGATGCGTCGGAGAGCTATTGAACGAGAAGAGAACGAGGATAAGATTTCTCAAGGGTCGTTTTTCTCTGTTTCCTCTGTCTACTAAATCTGCTGAGTGACGATCGATATATCCGAGCGACGTGTACATGAAATCGACGGTTATGCAAATTATGACAGCGTAATCTATCGTTCTTCCCAAATGTCGTTGTATGTACATTTTGCATTCTCGACCTTCTTCGCTCTCATTTTCTACCACAAGATCAGTGTTCCGAATACTAATTGTATTGACGTATTATCATCTATTGCAAATTCATATGGAAATTAAGGACCACCCAATCGGTACATCATAAAAATACGAATATAAATACGAATTTTCAAAGAGATCATCACTATTATCATCTATCGTTTTGTACAAAAGCGTATTGTCAATAAACAAGCGTAGTAAAACGTTTTATGATATTTACGAAGAAACACGTTGCACAAAATAATAACACATGATATCGGTATCGTCGTGTACATCCGATTAGTCGAGAGTTTGCCAAACAAAGGATTAAATGAGCATATATGCGGATGAATAAATTTTCCATTTAGAATAATAAACAATATGTTTACTTTAAGTTCAATATTACGTATGTAATAATGAAATACATAATGTTGGCATATCAAAATGTGTACATCTTTGTTCCAATATTTCATGACACGTATTAATTTCCTATCATTATTTTATGTAACGTGCTTCACATCGCGACCTCCTGTCGTATCGTCACAACCAATACGTTCCAGCATCATAATGGCTAAGGTAGTCGTTAATGTATATTAAATGCGCGTGTTCTAGCTGCTGGAATGTACGAGTAATAACAATAATTTGCTGATGGCAGCATATTAAGCAGACATGCCAAAAAGAGGATCTTCAGGGTGACATTTATTTAAAGGATACATTTCCTGATACAATTATTAAGCACACATTAATATTAATTCTACGACGTTTCATTTCCTTCAACTATAGTTTTTTTTTTCCGAGAACAAGAAGAATGGAATATATTCGTTGAAGCAGAATGCATAATGCCTTTACTGAGGAGGAGAGAAAGAACATGAAAAAAAATTCAGTATATTCCTGATAAAACTTCATAATTTTAACTTTGACAAATAAAGTTTGCGTGCAACTTTTATGATACGTAGCAACACCAAATAAAATTCACTTATTTAGAAAAAATACATTAATTAAACCTCATCGATCGAATCGCAGCGAAGTTGTACATGTATAAAGTACTTTGAAGTCTGTATGCATGTGCGTTGTGTTCTGTGTGCCCGTGTGTGTACATACGCGTGAAAAATAAAGAAGCGTGACGAGCGTGTGTTTAGTTAGAGCTCGATTGAAAAAAGTATGCACATACGCATTCAACGTAAAAATAAATAAATGGTGTTTGATATCCGACACACAATTAACAAAGGTTAATCTGAAAGTTTTCATTTTCGTAAGTAAAACTGCGAAAGCTCGT